CGAATCATCTCTGTTGACTACGAATCCGTAATTGTTTCCTGCCCGGAGGAGGAGGAGGAGGAGGAGGAGGAGGAGGCCAGGTGGAATGATTAACGACCAATTTCCTTCGGTAGGCGAGTCATTCCCCAGTATGATCGATCCGATTATCGCCCGGCGTGTTCGTCCTCGCGATTTCGAGCCGCGTACATCACGGTTCCCTTGGGTCTTCGGCAAATCGTTGATCGCGGCTCATCGACGAATCCCCGCGCGTCCTTGGAAAAATGTCCTCGCATATCGTCGGATTTTACGGAGCTCCTACTCGGAAGCTAAATCGGAATCAGCACGGAGATTTAATAAGGATTAAAATCGAGCGATGTGTCCATTACGGGGTTTAATACATTGAATAATATCCCATTGAATAACGCTTCGATTTGGAATCGCGCACGAAGAGTAAATAGCAGTAATATTATTTTAATTAAATTACGTTATTATTATTATTATTATTATTATAAATATGCGTGCTCGTATGCTCTTTTAATCTCGCGACCGTTAATATTTTGCCGCGATAATATTTTGTTTCTCGCAAGGAAGGTCCTGTATTTACTCGACGTGGCGGAAAATAAATTGGCTACGGAAATGTCGCGGATATCAAAGCAAAGGTTAATTATATTATGTTAAAATACGTCTATATAGACTTAAACGCGTAACCATGCGAAGATGTCCAACGGTGGCGTTTCCTAACGACGTATCTGGGGTAACGGAGAGGCAATCGGGGCGGCTTTAATTATCTCGCGGGCTCCTAACGTGCAATTAATTCCGAATGCGGTTTAGTTTAGCGAACGAAGAGCAAACAATGTATTACCCCCTAGGCCGCCTAAACGTAGATGGTTACCACGGAATGGAGGCTAGAGGGGTCGGTTAGGAAGCAACGAGGATGGGGTTAGGCCACTTTACGCAAATAGTATGGATCCTGCAGATAGCGCATACTTCCTGTAACGCTATCGCCATACATCCCTCCATTTACTCGTCTTTCCGCTCTCCGTTCCTCGCGCCCTTTCCACGATTTTCTATTCTCTCGTGCTCTTGTCGCGACCGCGAACACGAGGTTAATGTTCTGTGAATTTGTGATTGTCTTTAATCCACGGGTTTTAACAGAGGTGTATATTCTCCCGATTTTGCGACTTCCTTTTAATCGCACAGTTCGCATCATCTTCACGTGAAGTTATCTCGAGTTCGGTTAGTGATGTAACTGGGGTCTATTCAAAATTAGAAAAAAAATACGTTTCATTGAGTTGCATTGAGTTTTCACGGCAATCATCTCGTCGCAATCTAGGGTCGTACGACAAAAAGATTTCTTTGCGATATTTTACATATGATGGAAATTTGATTCGATGCTTGTGAATTTTTGTAAAACGGAGCCGAGTATTCAAAGGTAGCTCGCAGCAGAAGGGAACCAAACGTAATTAACTCTGCTAGTGTATTACGAATCAATAGCGTACGCATATATTGGATATGTACCGTTGGCATACGTGTATTTGTATATTGCAAGCTATTATGTATCACCCTCTAGCCATATACATATGTGTGTATGTAATATATTAACAATCAAGATTGAAAGCGTTGCATATCTCAATTAATATTCAAGCGATAATTGGGAGTATCAAAAAATTTTTTTCCCCAGTATATTAACTGCATTATTCAAACTGCGGGAAGTACTAATAATCCAGGAAAACTTGTACGCACAGTTTGTCCATGAAATAACAAGAGAATATTATTTGGAAATTACGATAGGATTATAACTGCTCTATTAAAATCTAAAACCGCTTTTTGTGGCAAAATTGAAAATATATTTTATAAAATTGAAATTAATATCAAATTATTTCATTGAATTTCATGTATATTTCATGTACGTAAAACTCATTGATCGATAAACAATTTCTTAATTGTTATTCTTTAAACTATTTTTTTGTTTTTGGCCAAATCAAAAGTGCATGAATATTAAATGTAAACAAACCATTTAGAATTTGTAGAATAATAGAATTTGTAGAGAAAATTCGACAAATTTGATAAAGAAAGGTGAAGATATGCAACGTAAATTGGTAGACACGAGGTAGCCCGACTCAAAATGCAGAACTGCGAAGAAAGATAGGCAAAACGCGATGATATAGATTCGAAAAGAGACCAAAGAGAAAGAGAGAGACAGAGAGAGAATAGACGTTCAGTAGACCGGCCAACGAGAAAGAGAGAAACGAAAAGGACGAAGGGAGGCAGGGAGAGAGGAGTAGTTCGCGCGAAGCGAATGACTGTGATTCGTCCAATTATCGGTTGGCACCAAAAGTGCTGGGTCTGGCTCGCCTGCCAAATGGGAAATAGCCGGCGAACTGCAGAGGCAAGCTATAGCTGTAGTTATGGACCTACGGACTCTGCACGCGGACTGTATGGATCTCCTTCCCCTATCTCTTTTCCTCCCTCCGATCTCCCCGCGGTACGATATGGACTCTCGCAGTACGGAGACTGTCGGATTGTAAACGGCAATCGC